TCTTATTACTTTTTTTTTAAATTGAAAGACACAGTTGCATGTACTTGTCATATGCAATGTGGTTTTGAAGTATATATACTTTTTAGAAGTAGTGAAGAAACGTATTATCTCACGGTTATTTTTAAGTGGGAGTTCTTTACATTCACTCTCAGGATTATTCAAGAATATAATAAATTGTTACTGTCCTCAGCACACTGTAGAATAGATTCCATGAAATCATTTCTCCTGTCAACTGCTATTGGGTGTCCTATGACTAGTGTCACTCAAGTCCTTCTCAGTCCTTGCTAACCGTCACTCTACTCTGTTTCTATAAGATCAGTGTTTTTATATCTGGCGTGTAAGTGAAGTCATAGAGCAGTTTTGTCTTACTGTGCTTGTCTTATGTGACTTAACATACTATACTCTAAGAGGTTCACTTACCACATTTTCTGGATCCATCCATGCACTGATAGACACTGAAGTTGATTCCATGTCTTGGCTATTGCTAAGAAGGCCAAATGAGTGTCGACATACAGATGCCTCTGTCACACACTGTTTTCTTTCGTTCGAAAGTTGTGGGATTGTGGGACTACACAGTAGCTTCGTTAAGTTTTCTGAGTCCCCCCCCCCCCCCCACATTAACGGTACGTGAGTCTCCTACATGCTCCCAATTTACTCAGGAGATCTTGTCTTTTTCTACTTCCCATGTAGATTAGATCTATGTATTCTCTCTTAGGGGCCTCATTGTTGTCCAGCTTCTCTGGGATTGTGAATTTATAGGCTGCTTTTTCTATTTTCTTTATGTCTAAAAGTCAATTGTGAGTGAGGACATATGACATTTGCCTTTATGGGTCTGGGTTACCTCATTTAATATGATGTTTTCTAGATCCATCCATCCATTTGCCCGCAATTTTCAAGATGTCATTATTATTATTATTATTTGCTGTGTAGTACTCCATTGTATAAATGTACCACATTTTCTGTATCCATTCTTTGGTTGAGGGGCATTTAGGTTGTTTTCAGGTTCTGGCTATGATAAGCAATGCTGCTTTGAACATACTTGAGCACATGTCCTTGTGGTACAATTGAGAAGCCTTTGGGTATATACCCAAAAGTGATATTACTGGGTCTTGAGGAAGTTTGTTTCCTAATTTTCTGAGAAATTGACATACTTAAATCTAAAGTGGCTGTACCAGTTTGCACTCCCACCATCAATAAAGTAGTGTTCTCTTTACCCCACAACCTCTTCAGCATAAGTTGTCTTCAGTGTTTTTGATTTTGGCTATTCTTACAGGTATAAGATGGAATCTCAGAGCTGTTTTGATTTGCATTTCTCTGATGGCTAAGAATGTTGAGGATTTCTTTAAGTGTCTTTCAGCCATTATAGATTTCTCCTTTGAGAGTTCTCTGTTTAGGTCTGTACTCCATTTTTTATTGGATTATGTATTCTTTTGATGACCAATTTCTTGAGTTCTTTGTATATTTTGGAGATCAGATCTCTGTCTGATGTGGGGTTGGTAAAGATCTTTTTCCATTCTGTAGGCTGCCATTTTGTCTTGTTGACCATGTCCTTTGCTTTACAGAAGCTTCTCAGTTTCAGGAGGTTCCATTTATTAATTGTTTCTCTCAGTATCTGTGCTACTGGGATTCTATTTAGGAAATGGTCTCCTGTGCCAATGCGTTCAAGTGTATTTCCCATTTTCTCTTCTATAAGGTTCAGTGTGGCTGTCTTTATGTTGAGGTCTTTGATCCATTTGGATTTGATTTTTATGCATGGTGATAGATATGCATCTATTTTCATTTTTCAACATGTTGATATCCAGTTATGCCAGCACCATTTGTTGAATATCCTTTCTTTTTTCCATTTTATATTTTTGTTTCTTTGTCAAAAATCAGGTGTTCATAGGTGTGTGGATTGATATCCGGGTCTTCGATTCAGTTACATTGGTCCTCCTGTCTGTTCTTATGCCAATACCAGGCTGTTTTCAGTACTATAGCTCTGTAGTAGAGTGTGAAGTCAGGGATTGGGATACACCCAGAAGTTCTTTTATTATATAGAATTGTTTCGGCTATTCTTTTTTTTTTTCTTTTCTATATGAAGTTGAGTACTGTTCTTTCAAGGTCTGTGAAGAATTTTGCTGGGATTTTGATGGGCATTGCATTGAATCTGTAGATTGCTTTTGGTAAGATTGCCATTTTTACTATGTTAAGTCTACCTACTCAAGAACATGGGAGATCATTCCATTTTCTGGTATCTTCTTCAATTTCTTTCTTCAAAGATATAAAGTTCTTGTCATACAGGTCTTCCACTTGTTTGGTTAGAGCTACTCCAAGATATTTTATGTTATTTGTAGCTATGGCTAAGGATGATGGTTCTCTGACTTCTTTCTCAGCCTAATTATTATCTGTGTGAGCAAGGGCTATGAATTTTTTTGTGTTAATCTTGTATCCTGTACATTACTGAAGGTGTTTATGAGTTACAGACATTCCTTGGTAGAGTTTTTGGGGTCCCTTATGTAAACTATCATATCATCAGCAAATAATGAGAGTTTGACTTCTTCTTTTTCTATTTGTATCCCCTTGATATCCTTTTTTTTGTCTTATTGCTCTAGCTAGAACCTCAAGTACTATATTGAATAGATATGGAGAGAGTGGACAACCTTGTCTTGTTCCTGATTTCAGTGGGATAGCTTTGAGTTTCTCTCCGTTTAGTCTGATGTTGGTTATTGGCTTGCTGTATATTGTCTTTATCATGTTTAGGTATATTCCTTGTTTCCCTGCTGTCTCCAAGACCTTTATCATGAAGGAATGATGTATTTTGTCAAAGGCTTTTTCAGCATTTAGTGAGAAGATCTTGTGGGTTTTTTTTTTCAGTTTGTTTATATGGTGAATTACATTGACAGACTTTCGTATGTTGAACCACCCCTGTGTCTCTAGAATGAAGCTGACCTGATCATGGTGGATAATTTTTCTGAAGTGTTCTTGGATTTGGTTTGCCAGTATTATACTGAGTATTTTTGCATCAATGTTCACGAGTGAGATTGGTCTGCAATTTTCTTTCTTAGTAATGTCTTTGTGTGGTTTGGATATCAGGGTAATTGTAGCCTCATTAAAAGAGTTTGACAATGTTTCTTCTGTTTCTAATGTATGAAATAATTTGAGGAGTATAGGTATTAGTTCTTCTTTGAGAATCTTGTAGAATTCTGTGCTGAAACCATCTAGCCCTGTTTTGTGTGTGTGTGTGTGTGTTGGGAGACTTTTGATGACTGTTTCTATTTCTTTAACAGTTATAGGTCTATTTAATTTGCTTATTTGGTCTTGATTTAATTTTAGTAAGTGATATTTATCGAGAAAATTGTCCATTTCCTTTAAATTTTCCAATTTTGTGGTGTATAGGTTTTTGAAATATGACCTAATTGTTCTCTGGATTTTCTCCATGTCTATTGTTATGTCCCTCTTTTCATTTCTGATTTTGTAACTTGAATATTCTCTCTGCCTTTTGCTTAGTTTGGATAAAGGTTTGTCTATTTTGTTGATTTTCTCGAAGAACCAACTCTTGGTCTCATTGATTCTTTGTATTATTTTCTTTGTTTTTATTTTGTTGATTTCAGCTCTCAATTTGATTATTTCCTGCTGGCTAGTCTTCCTGGGTTCTGCTGCCTTTGTTAATGATGTAAAGATGTGTTACATTTGTTTGCGCTGCAATTGTTTTAATTATGTAACAATGTGCAGTCTTTATTTTACCTTGTCTGCCTAAGGCACCTGATTGTTCTTATAAAGAGCTGAAGGACTAATAGTAGGCAGAGGAAAAATGGGCAGGGCTGATGGGCGGAAAGGGAAGTAGGAGGAGAAATCTAGGCTGGCGAGAAAGAAGGAGAAAAGGAGAGAACCAGGGAGGAAGAGAGGGACGTGCCCAGGGCCAGAAGCCAGTCAGACATGAGAAGCAGCGAATGTTAGATATGCAGAAGGAAAGACAGGGTAAAAAGCCCCAGAGGAAACACAGATGAAGAGGAACAGTTTAAGTTATAAGAGCTACTGAGAAAAGCATAAGATACAGCTGAGAATACATAGCTAATACGAAGTCTCCTTGTCATGAGTTGGGAGCTGGTTGGTGGCCCAGAAGAAAAAAGGCTGCTACAATTGTGTAAACATATGAATGCAACTAAAAGGAAAGCTATTGGAATTTTACTTTTATCTGTTTGTCTGTATGTGCATCTACCCACACACCTGTGCTCAGGTACTCATGGAGGTCAGAAGAGGGCATCCCATTCCCTGGAGCTGGAATTACAGGTGGTTGCAAACCCCAAGACTTGGGTGCTGGGAGTGAAATTCTCATCTTCTGAAAGAGCAGCAAGTACACTTACCCACGGATCCATCCCTCCAGCCCCCTTGAAAGTGCTAGTATTCTCTCACGTTCTTTAAAATAAAACTGTAGAATGAGTTTTCAGTAAGCTTCAATATATTTGTATGTGTTTCCCCCAAACAGCAAACATACATAGAGACTTTCCATAAACACTTATTTAAATGTTTCTCCTCCAGTAGTTTGAAGTTGAAGAAATGGGGGTACACTGAGTCAGGGCAGAGGAGAAGAATGGAGAGAAAAGGCAGGCGAATCCAGGGTAGCTGTAGTGTTCTTTTGCTGTCCTGGGGAGTCAGGCAGGGCACCAGGAGCTGCTGATCTGTGGTTGGAGAAGCCTTCTGTCACAGCAGACAGGTGGGCTGGACCACAGTGACCACACCACCTCATTTCCTTTGCCCCGCTATCACACTGAGCCATGTCACTGGCTAGCCTTTGGGACGGAAGATCTGACTTTAGACACCGCTGTGAAGGAGACCAGGACATTTCATCTCATGCACACATTTGTCACTTTAACCACATGGGGGGAAGAAAAGGCCACAAAGTATCATGTTAGTATGAACACAGTCAAGGTACTTGTGTTTAAAGAAAAAAAAAATATCATTAGTGTTGCAAAGACTTTCCATGATTTCACACTCGCCCTGAGAGCCCCCTCTCACCACAGGAAGTGTGCTGACCAATGGAGGGGGCAAATAAAAGGGGCTCCTGGGGAGTCTGCTCCATACTCTTGCACAGCCCAGCAAGACCTCAGCCATGAGACTTCTCCTCCTGACTTTCCTGGGAGCCTGCTGCCTCACCACGTTCTCTGTGGAAGGTAAGTTGAGCAGCTATTGATGGGACAAGGACCAGGCTTGATTGACTTGGGTCTTGATTAGAATAAACTCCTTTGTCCAGGGAAGCCTCAGACTTCCCATATGCACAAAAGAAATGCTGGTTTCAACTCTCAGCCGTTCTAGGCTTATGCTTATTTACTTAAAATTGAGTGTTATATTCTGTCTATACACTGAGCACTGTGAGCTGGAATTAAAATGGAATAAATCTGATTTTATTTACTGATGACTATTTAAGCACATCCAATCTCCTTATAATGATATTTTATTAATGCTGGCAATGATTACAATGGGTTGCTTGCTTTTGCTTACTTCATTTTGATCTGATAAATTCTCAGACTCTTTAAGTTTCATCAGAGTGGGGAATGAGGTCCAGACGGTGTGTTTGAAAGCAAATCTATGTTTTCTACTTGAAAACATCAAGCATAAAATGATCAGGAGCTCATATTTTCATATTAAGAAAATCAATATTACCCTCAACTAAATAGAGGAGTCTGCCAATATTGCTGTGAACATTACCGCTTATGATGTAAGACAGCCTCTGATACTGAGTGGGACAGATAGTCCACACTCTGTTGACTAACGAACCTGGAAGACATGCCCAAATGGGATGCAGATGCGCTGAGCTATAGCTGAACATTTCAGCTGATGTTTCCTAAAGGGTCACCTTTTTCTTCTGGCTGGAGTTATAGACCTATTTGTATTCTGTTCTGCACACTTAGACTATAATACCATAACTTCATCATAGATTCTACAAGCATAAAGGGAATAAAGAGAACACATTCTGGAAATCCTTGACATTGGGCAAAAGAAGAAATATTGATGAAGGGAAAAAAAAAACTTCAAGAATATTCAGTTAGGTCTCACGCTGCTAAAAGGCTGGCATTTTTTGCTGAGATGGAGGTGCAGCTCTCCGCTGCTTTTTTTGCTTGTTTCCTGAGACCTGCTGGGGCTCAGGCCAGGGCTGGCTTGGTGACAGTCTGCAGGAGCTAGGGAACTGGAGACTTGCTCTCAGATTCCCAAGCTTTCTCCTTGCAGGAGTTTAAAAAACCTTGCTGGTATCTTAGTGATGTCAAAACGGGCAAAAATGTGTCTTTGCGACACTTTGTCAACCCCCCCCCCCCCCACGTTGCTGAGAAGCTGTAGAAGTCCTGGTGTGGACAATAGGGTTCTGCTGGCCCTTGGCATCCATGAACACTCGACTCAGAGACATGTTGTTCTTAAATGGTGAAAGAAAGCTAAAAGAAGCCAGATTTTCTCTGAGTTCAGAGAAGTTTAGCATAAAACGATACTGGCAGAGGGCAAAGAATGGGCAGGTTGGTACCGAGAACAAAGCAAAGGAGCCATGAAGGAAAGAGGTGCCCAGCCTCTAGTTCTATATGGTAGACAAAGGCCTTCCTGTGGCGGCAGCTCCAATTCAGACTTGATCGTTATCAGGATGACTGGAGGTCTTGGCAGCTGTGAAATTAGCACTTAGAAACTTTGCCTATTTAGATGTTACCAACTCCTTAGTCTCCTTGACTCTTCTGGGATAGTTTTCCTTGTGCAATGGAGGGTTGTGTTAAGAACTTGAAGAGTTTAGTCCCCCTTCAGTCGGGTCCTTTAATGGCAAATCCTGAGGAAACTCTCCCATCCCATGTCCCACGTGTGACTATTACAAATGAGAACACGTATATTTGTTCAGGCAAAAATGTACTGGGTTCTTCTCTTGACTATAGCTTGCTCAGATCACCCTTTATTGCAACCTTCTCTTTTACCTAATTTACAGCAAAATTAGCATTTGACATGATCTCCGTTGTCTCTGTTTTCCTGGCTACCTTACTATAACATGGACTCCATTAAACAGGGTCCGTGCCCATCTGAATTAGTGCCTTTGACTTTTAGGACACAAAAGGACACCACTAAGTATGTAGCTGTTTAGAGTGTCCCGAGGACTCTGCTGTCATATACAAAGATGGATACCACCCGGTTACTATGTATTTATTTGTGAGACAATGCCTCCCGGTCACAGTTCTAGAGGGCCCTAAACTCACTCTGTAGACCACACAGAGAGTCACCCTCCTCTGACCCCCATTGCTGGGACTAAAGGAGTGCACCACCACACAAGGCCACCTTGTTACTTTTACAAAGAAATTGCCGAAACAATACTACTGATCTCTTAAAAATCAGCCAGACACTTACCTCAATATATAATGAACAAGAGACCCAGGATACCAATGGGAATTATTTCTTCCCCAAAAGAACAAGCGGTTTTCTACTCCTGGTACATTTTAGAGTAATCTAATAAGTGACTCTGAACTTGATACTTGTTGAGTTGCAGTTTTATTTATGTTTTCATTTTCTTCTTCTAGGCGTGGGGACTGAAGCCCTAGAAGAGAGTTTCTGTGTGAGCTTAAGGACCCAGCCGCTGCCGGTTCAGAGAATCAAGACCTATACCATCAGGGAGGGCATATTGAAAGCAGTTATGTGAGTGTCTACTCAAAGATGTTCCTATCTAGAAATGCAATAGGAAGAAGTATTGCCCCCTCAGGAAAAATAGGGCACCATGGAGGAACGCTCAGCATAGTCACTAGCCCAGTCTGTTTATAACAATCTTGTCTTTCACTGTCCTGTCCAATGATGATTATTGAAAAAAATAAAAGAACACACACCCCCTTTTTCCTCTTTTGCTCACCAGATGAGTCTGACTAGAAAATAGATGGGCACTGTGTCCAGTTCTGATGGCCAGCCCAGGCTAGGATTTGCTCAAATAACCAGACTAATGTAAGATACTTACTGTGTAGAGCAGCACACCTTGTGTGTGGTTATACCTCAATGGAACACATCCAGAACTTTCCTACACTGCCTTCCAGAACCCTGTGTTCAGAAGGAGCAGCGCTCTCTCTGATGCATGCTTAGAGTTTCTCTCTTAGAAACTCATGGACATTATCTCTAATTCCCCCAAGGAGGTAGATAGTTCCAGGCTGGAAAAGGAAGGAGGTACGGATCAGCTGAACTAAATGGTCCTAGGAGTCCACTTTAGCTCCAGTGTTTGGTTATACTGGTGAATGACAGCCGCCAACAGCTGGCTGTCACCTGGAGATTTCCCTCCCTTTCCTAAAACAGATGACAGAAGAAAGATGCTCATGGGTTGTTTCAGGGTTTGAAAGGTGGTTTCTTCGGCTGACTTCTGTCCAGATCTTCTTTCATTGGACAGTACAGCTAACACTATCTCTTTTTTGCGTCCTAGCTTTGTCACCAGACGAGGAGTGAAAATCTGTGCTGATCCACATGCCCAGTGGGTGAAAGCAGCGATCAGAACTGTGGATAGGAGGAAGAACATAACCGAAACTAGTCCCACGAGAGCCCAGCGGTCCACCAGCTCAGCCATGACCCTGTCTGGGTAGTGCTGTCTGGGACAGTGTTCCCTCAACAGCCGAGTAGCTCATCTCAGTTCGCAGGCTCATGGACTAATTGTGCTATATTTACTTTTTACGAAATGTTACATGAATAAAGTTGTTTATTATTATTTTATGGCATTCATTTTAAATGTTATAAGTAATAAATATTTATTATTGAGGATGGGTCTATATTTCATTTATTATACAGAGGGAAAGGTAATATATTGTTTATTTCTGTCTCTTTGACCTCTGTCCCTCCTGCTCTCTGTCTCTGATATCCATGATGGGAGACATTTGGGCTAGTGTCTATGGAGATGAAAGCCGCTTTATCACTCTTGGGTTCAGCGTGCAATAGTTCTCTGCTAGTGAGCTACAAATTTTGTAGCATACGGTGACAGTCACCATCCGGTTCAGTCTCATAGTAGAGGGTTGTTTATCAAAGTTGTGAGAAACCATCCAGCTGTCCTCACATTGCCATTCCAAAGGATAACATCTCAGAAAGTGGCTCCGTTCCACTTTAACTTGAGGAAAATCCTTTACCTCTTGGTAGGTTGGTCAAGTAAAAGTCGATGTATTGTAAATTAGATAATTATCTCACTGCTTTATGATGGTTTCTCTTGTTGGCACTCTGCTTGCCATTGTCTAAGCTCTGCATTCCTACCTATGGGCTCTCAATGTTCCCAGTCCTTGTCACGTGGGATCTCTCTCTCAACGAGATCACAATTTACAGATCACTCAGCACCCCAAACTATGCTCTTCTGTTTTCTCATTAAATGGCTGACTGGATTCCAGCTTGTGGTTCTGGTATCCCAGAAGCCAGTGATTCACACTGTGTTTGTTAAGCTGTCTGAAAGCGAGAACCGACTTTATCCTGGTAGTTGAGTTGAAGAAGAATTGCTGAGAGATGCTGTGTGGTATTGAGACCTTTGGACATTCCCTGAGGACATCTTGCTGGGCCACATTATTTCTGTCTATACAGAGACCCAGAGTAGAAACCACTAAACTGTCACCTCCCAGCAGAGATCCAGCCACCTACTCTTTCCCATTGCCAGTAGTTCACAGTGATTTTCAAACGCATGTTAGACAAGACTGAAAACCAAGCGTCTCAGACGATAAACAGAGTAGTATTTTGATCTTTAAAAATAGTTTATCAATCATTTTTAATTTATATATGCAAGTGTGTGGGTTTTGTGAGTTTATGTAAAGCACATGTGTGCAGAGGCCTAAGGAGAACAGAGGGCATCAGATTCCCTGGAAGTGAAGTTGTAGGCGGGGCTGAGACACCTGATGAGGGTGCTTGTCAATGAACCCAGGTCCTCCGGAAGAGCAGCAAGGTCTTCACCAAGCACTATACCACTGTGCCATCTCTCAACCCTGGATTTTTCTGATTTAATTATATATGTGTGCTTCCCAAATGACTCCCAGACCCCAGAGGATCACAGTGGTAATGAGATGAATGAAGAAGATGGGTAACATTTGATTTCTCAGTTTTAAAGAATTTTAACAAACACTTTGTTTTTTATTAAGCAATGGAGGGTACTTTCTTGCTTAGCTAGTGATGGATCACCTGGGCACATGACAAATCCCACACTGGATTTGACCCACACTGGAGCACTGGACTGAGCTCCCAAGGTCCCAATGAGGAGCAGAAGGAGGGAGAAGATGAGCAAGGAAGTCAAGACCACGAGGGGTGCACCCACCCACTGAGACAAATCCCAATTAAAGACAAAACAATAGACATAAAATATTTATTAGCTTTCTTAAGGGCCATTGCTCATTAATAGACAGAATTCAGATTCAACAGTTGGGAGCAGGGCTCCAGGTTTGGCCTCTTGAGCTGTTGAAGCTGCCTTCTCCTCAGAAGTCACTTGTCCCATGACTCTCCTATACAGGAAGGCGTAACGACCAGGTGACTCAAGTAAACACAATACTCTTATGTATCCTGCTGTTTATTTTATAAATTAATTCATTCAATAATCTCTGAGGCTCTTCTATGTGCCAGAGCTGAAAAAAAAAATCCTCTTTTATTCTCATGAGTTCTCCCCACTTTCCCTTCACTCTGGAAAATAGGAGGCTTCCTCTTCCAGCTACTCATCCAGCTTGTGTATCCCAGGGCTTTCCTGAGCGCAGCAATGCAGAACTTAAACAAGACGTCTTGTCCCTGTGCTCCAAACTGCCATAGGCTTGCAGTGGGGATAACATTAAAGTATGCAGGGTAACATGTGAACTTGTAGGTAAGCAGAGCCTTGGGCGCACAGCAACAAATCTGTTTAGGTGTTGCCGTGTAGGGGATGTCTGGACAGCTTTCACCTTGAAGATAATCTGATACCAGAAGGACAAGTCAGAGTTGTCTGTGCAGTTCCATCACCTTCCAGGCAAGGAAAACAAGCAGCATGTATGAAAGATTGCGGAGGAGAAAGACCTTGATGTGCTAAGAAAGTGGAAGCATTTACTACACCTGAGAGACAAAATGGAGGCAGCACAGCAATGCAAGGGGGCAAAGGGAGGTTGGAGAGACACTGGAAACCCGGGAAGGTCCTGTCTTCAGACCCGTGAATATATATTTCATTTAAAGTCACTGGGGAATTCTACTGACTGATCAGTTTAGAGTATAGAGAACAAGACAAGGGCCAAGAAGCCAATTAGCAGGCCACTCTGGACTTAGTGACCTTTGGACTTGGCCCGGCAGGCTCAGCTCTCCATGGCAAGTGCCCAGGTCAACAAACTCCTCTTCACTTTCTTCTGCGCATATGGCCAGGATCAGGATACAAGAAAATTGCTCGTATGGTTTCTTAGGTTACTTACTAGTTATGATCAGATCTGCAGGCAAAAATTGGAGCTAACTACCTGGGGGAAGTAGCAGTTAAGATCAAGAAGGAACACACCCAATATCAGTGTACTTACAGAGAATCCTCACCTGAGTCTGTTTTGATTTATTGAATTCCTGAGTGTTCGTGAAACTCCTACAGAGTATGTGGGACTAGGATCTACTTAGCTGTCATGATGCAGGTGACTGTCATCAAAGTCATTCCCAGTTGGGTGTTTCAGACAGCCAAACTCATGGCTTCTCTTATCTGATGTCATCTGGCTAGGTGAGGTCCCTCCCACGTGCTGGATCAGCTCCTGGATTTTCCTCTGTTATAGCTTATATTGCCCTGAGCAGCATTTTATTTGATTTGTCTTAGTAGTTGAAATTTGAGGCCGTGGACTTGATGTCTAGCTAAAACTTGGTAAAATATCTGTACATGATGTTTCCAGTTAATTTTTATGAACATCACACACACACACAACTCATACACACATCTATCTGTCTAATAAATACTCAATACTCAATGTAAAATGATAGAGTGGTTGAAAAAACAAAAAAGAATGAGCTGGACCCAAGTTAGGAGGTTGGGATATGACTCAGGTTTTAGTACTGAGAAAATGACATTGGTAGAATCTATATACTAACATAAAGGAGAGTTGTTTGGTGTGTGAACTTAAATAAACTCTTGGAAAGTTAAAAAAATAAAACTCTGCAGAAGAGGTGACAAAAGAATTGTGCCTTTAAGTCCTAAAAGATTCTTGCCAGGAACAAATGATCAGTGTGGGTACTCTTGCCAGAAGAATCGCATAAAAGAAATTATGGAGGCGCCCGAGGGAGACTGCTTATAGGTAGGTGGGGATTAGAGAGCTCAGGGAGGAAAGGTGGTTTGAGGCCAGGTCCAAGAGGTCCCAAGCAGAAGGGCAAGGGCAAGATTTAATAGGGTGGGGGCGCTGGGAGGACAACATGATGCATCCAAGTTTAGGGTAGTCACTTAGAGCAGTGGTTCTCCACCTGCAGTTGCGACCCTTCAGGGGTTGAATGACCTTTCCACAAGGGTAACCTCAGACCATCAGAAAACACAGATATTCACATTACAATTCGGAACAGTAGCAAAATTACAGTCGTGAAATAGCAATGAAAATAATTTTATGGTTGGAGGCCACCACAACATGAGGAACTGTATTGAAGGGTAACAGCGTTAGGAAGGCTGAGAATCTCTGACTTAGAGGCGTAGGTTTATGCACAAGGCTGCAAGGGTCTGGCTACCTACTGGATATGTCATGAACTTGATAAACTGAGACTCCTCTAAAGTTTTCAGCTGGGGTGAGTGGTTAAGAATCAACAGAGGATTGATAAGATTTTGGTCTAATTGCTGCTGTAGATTCTGTTCTGATGAATCCATGGCCACCAGAAGAGGGACAGTCATGAAGCGAGAAGCAAGCACCACAGATCTCCTTGATATGTAAGCAGTTGAGACAAAGCCCAAGCTACATCTTCATTCCCTTTCTCCAGGCAAACCTTTTCAGAAGAATGGGGCTAGGAAAAGCCTGAGTATCTGTGAAACTCTCTGTGCCCTTTGGGGCCTGGGGAAAGGGACATATAAATGGAATAAAATCCCCACCGCTGAGTCACTGGTGTTATTTTAGGAGGGATTTGTCATACAGCAGTGGGAGGCAGATGGGAGCCAGAGGGTGAATTTGTAATGAGAGAAAAGAGAAATGAGGTAAAAGCAAAGGTTTGGAATGGGCACCAGGAATGCCAGGACAGGACTGGATGGAGGGTTTGGTGGGAGGAGGGGACATGGGATCCCCTCCCCCACTTGGTGGGAGGTAGTATACATTAGATCAGAAGGTGAAAGGCAGGCCATGTGTCTTGACTTCCTGTCCGACTGTGCTGCTTGGCATCGCTATTGAGACTGCACAATCATCTTTCTCTTTGACTCCAACCTGCTCCCACAGGCTCATCAGGTTGTTGGGTTTTGGGACATGTTTGTGTTCAGAAGACTGTTAACAAGAAGAATGGTTAACCCCTTGATGTGTTTGCGATATGATGGCATTGGGAGGTGTGTAAGACTAGAAAGATACATCCTGTGCCCTGACCCTTGTTTCTGTTTGCTTCCTGATTGCCTTGAGGTCGTCAGTTCTCTCCCTCTCATTACCATAATATTCTGCCTCACTTCAGACCCCAGGTCAGGGAGCCAGTGAACCACAAACCGAGACCATGAAACAAAAGTGCTTTTCTGAACTTCAAGGCCTATCTTGTAGCATTTATTTTATTCTGCCCC